TGTATTCACATGCCACCCATAGTTCTTTATTTGCCTTTCATTTTTTAACCCTTCTCAGTAAGTTAGACTTTTGTTGTATTACGTAACCTCAATCTTAAAATTTCTGTTTTGTATATAAGTCGCAATCATTGTAAATAGCTTTTTAGTTTTTAATTTTTAACCTGAAGAAGGCCGAACGGCCGAAACGTCGTGCATTAAACTCGTCCAGAGCAGTCAAGAGTTGGCCTCTTCGTTACGCCCTTATAGTACACTTTACTACTATATATGTATATATATACGGAAAATTGAGCTGGTCTGTCCTCCATGGAAGCGTCCCTTTCCGCGTTACCTCTTGGTTTTCGATTAATTTTAAAGTCGTAAACTTTCTCTTACCTCGATTTTCTCTTTGGTATCGCCACGGTTAGTGTTAATTTCCTGATTAATTCTCGTTTCATCTGTGCCATCCGTTGGTTGATTATCACACTCGGTCCACAAATCAAGTAACTTCTTATTGTTATTGTTAATCTTAAAAGGCTCGAGTCAAAGAATTTGCCTTCTAAAGAGTTTTAGGTCAGTTCTATTTACACTACAATTTCAAACTCAACCCAGTTCATGCCAGCATTCAATCCGGTGTCATGAAAATTGGCCACAATAGCTGAAAGTAATACAAATACAGCTATTACTACCTCTACTGCTTCTATTACCAGTAATGGTGAGGGTGGTAGAAGCAGAAGTACTGCCAGCGCAAGAAGCACAGCCAGCATTATCGTGAACTTCATTTGTGTTTCCACCGCCGGTGCACTGCAAGTGTGTGGAGTTAGCTAACATTTAATACATTTAAATGTATTCAATGTAAGCCCTATTAAACAAATCCTTTACCTGAATGGGTGATTTTAAAAAAAACTCTCCCTGTATATGAACGTTCCTTTATTCTACTTCGCCAACATAGTAAAGCAACAAACTAGGGTTTATAAGCCGAAAATTCAGAAGCACGGGTGTATTTTTGCCCAAAGTGGAATAGGAGGTCAGACAAAAATTGTGCACTTAATTCTCATGGTCTAGATCAGTTGTGTTAAAGAATATATAAGCTTACATGTAAATGTGCACCTGACTCCGCACACTTGCGGTGACTGGAGCTGGCAATGACACTGCCAATGGCGCAAGCAGACGGTTTTAACTCCAGTGATAGGACATGAGAGAAAAGGAATTACAGAGCTTTGTTTTTAGACATGAGGTTTGATAGGAATTTGGAGTTGTTTGGCACCTAATGAGCATTATGGTAAGAGCTGATATAGTTAAGGGCATCACTCAGGTGAACGTTTGAACCCAGTACTGTTTAAGATGATTTCTGGTGTTGTTGGCCGTCTAATATAAATGACAAGTCGCCCGGTTTCTTGAATTCGTATATTTATCAGAGTCAACAAGATATGGGAACCGCCTACTTTTCGCTATTTTACATGAGTAATTAAATGAAAGAAATCTCCAAAGCAGAATTGGCTTTTTCTACATTGGTCAAAGGATACTGCCAATCCTTTCTGACACCAGGTAATGGCTTCTTGATACAAGTGTTGTTGTACACATGCACTGGCCCCTTAAAGAAATTGAAAAAAATTGATATCAAGAAAGATCATTTTTCGCATTGCGGATAATAAAGGACCTCAACTTGTACTTCTATTTCAATCTTACACATCTTAACTTTAGTGATGTCTTGCAATGTACACAGTCAAAGTAAATTACCAGACTCGAGACCGAGTGTGAAATGGAGACTGGTTAAGAAATTGAGAGGTATACATGCGTGCGCGTAGATATGGAATTTCTCTTCGAGTGATCAGCACGATAGCTTACGAGTGAGAACAGGGGAAGAGGGGGATATCGGGTTGAACACTCGAAGAGAAGTTCCATTTCTTTAAGCAGCCATGTATTATTCTGTATGTTATATAAAAATAATACTAATTTATGACAATAAAAGTCGGCTTTATTAATAAATGAAAAAGGATCCTCGACCCTCGAAAAAAAAGTTGTAAAGTGCGTGGGCGGTAAGGCTCATCGTAATTTTACACGTGTGCTGGTAAAACATTTCTCAGGCCTGGTAATCATTGTAAAACATCACAGTTTATATAATATACGTAATGATATAGCAGCTTTTTCATTAACTATCAAAACTTACAACTTAATCCAAAACCCTATGAGAGTAGGCGGATTACTTTTCAAAATGAGAAATTTGGAATTTTCATTGTGCTTTTGCAAGAAGATCTGTCAAATGCAAAGTCGAAATTAAGACAATAAATTAGGTTGTGAAATGATTTAAGGAGATCAGACAATGCGGAACCCCAGCACAAGCTTTTTTCCTGAATGATCAACTGGTCAGATGAGTCCAATCTTTCGGTCATCCTCGGAGACATTTTCTGCATGTCTCAGGAATTGCAGAGAACTTACCGATTTCTATTGCTTCAATGAAAGTTGGTGCCAATTGAGCAGACACTGTAGCGTCATCCAAAGCTTCTTCCCAATTTCCTGACAAAATAATTTGGTGTGAGTACGGAAGGACAAATTCTCAACTTTCAGAGTCTACTTTAAACGTTTCAGTTACTGATGTCTTCTGAGTGCTGGGTAAGTTGCCAAATTAGCAAAAAAGTCTTGCGAGAGCATCTGAATTTCGGTCTGTCTGATTTTCATATATCTGATTGGCTAACTTGAGGTTCACAATTTTTAGTGTCAGGTTTTATCCCATCTTTCAAATAGCCAGCGGACGAATAGAGAATCGGCCAGAACGAGTGATGTTGGTGACGGGGCCATGCATTGAGCCTGTCCCAGTCATGCCAGCGCTACCTTCCCATATTACCTTGAGGTTGCTGCAAGCACGGCGAAAGTTTTCATTCACGCACACCATTCGAACTGTAGATGATTGTAATCAATCTCTATCAAAATGAATACAAAACTGGAATGATTGATTAATTCTTACCCAGAAGGAGCTGAGCCGCTGCTCTGTTGCTATAGAGTAAGGCGTTTAGTTTGACATCTTTGCAGTTCACTTGCAGTCCCTCCGAGTAAAAGTGTACTGCATTGTTGGTTTCTCCTTTGCTGTACTCGTTGTCACCTTCTTTCAAGTACACCTCCGCCATCGCTAACAGAAAGAAGAAAACATGCATGATATAGGATATAACTCAATAGGGATGCACAAAATAGCAGCCAGACATATACAGATGCGTAAAATATCCAGGAGAGTAGCAGTTTGAAACGGCTGTCAAACGTTAAAATCATTTTGTTGACTTGCAAAATTTGTCTGCATTTTTCCTGTTCCATGATCACTAAGCGGTACAGGTCCCTTTGTGTGCCTCTCTTAAAAGGATTGCGTAACCCTAATTGACTTGATGACCATACCTTATTGAATAGGTTGTGTTTATTTTAATTCTTATTATTACCTTTTAAGGTTGCATCATCAAATTGCGATGTACCATCTGACGGTAAAACGGCCGGAACGTCTATAACGAGAGAAAAATAATCAGACAAGTATATAGGGGACAAGGATCTTTCTGATCTCTCTGTTGGCCTCCAAGCATTGTGGCTTGATAGTTCAGCCACTGAACAGTTTCAAACCTAAATTGCATACCAGCTCAAGTAAAGTAAAGAATCAAATGCGTTGGATTATTTAGCAAACATAGACAAACACTGATAAGTTCATTCAAAACAACGTGAATCGAAGTATTTGGAAAAATAGTCAAACTCCATCTCCAGTGCTTGATATATGTTACCCATCGAAACTAAAATTAAGATGTAGAAGCGGCGAAATAAGGTTTTAAAAAAGTACGCCGTGTAAAGAAGATTCCTGCCATACATAAGATATGATACATAAGATACACGCCACGGTTCCGGCATCCCTTGTGATTAAACAATTAAACACTGATTAATGAGTTTAACGGAGAGATATATGTTGATCTTATCGACAAAATCAGCAAAAACGTCAGGTGCTGGACTCCATCGAGGCGGGGGTGAGAGGAAGAACGATAGAGACCTTAAGATGGACAACGGAAAAGTAGATGAAGAGGAACTGATTTACCTGAAGAGAGGTTCTGAGGACAAAGCGAAGAAAAGATCGTCCTGGTGGTCCTTTTTCATAAGGTTAGATACCCGAAGGCACGAAAAGGACAACAATTTTTCTGAGTTTTTTTTGTTTTATTTTTATGTTCCTTACGAGATCACATTTAATATTCCACACAGTCTGAGAAATACGCTATCTTAAAGGTTGGGTTAGGTCAAGCAGTTGATAACTTCATATTCCCATATTTTTTGTTGTGACTATGACCTGCATGTAAGACTACTTTACTCACCTGCCCGAATATCATCAGCTAAATTCACTTTTAAGTCACCAGATCTGACTTGACGTTCCTCTGCAGCTGGAAAACACAACATCACGTTCATGGTGAAACCATTACCCTTAAAAAACAAGACCTTTCACAAGTGGTTTTACTTTTATTTTTCATCATGCTTGAGCGAAACTGTAAAATAATGTGTTTTGCTAATCACCCTGGAAATGATAATCATGTGACATTTTTCATAACAGAAAGTTAGTTGTAATTAAGCCGTTTTTTTCTTACCGTCTGTAGATTTCCCATCATCAACGCTGACCTTACCACCTTCCGCCATCACTGCAAAAGAACCAAATACTCTAAAACTTCATGATATCAATTTTGAGATCAATCTCACCGACTTTGGTTGTATTAAGCTGAAATCGAAAAGGAAGGGCTTTCAACATTTATACCTGCTTAGATTTTCAGAGCATACCTCAGTCCACAACCAAGCCTTAGCCATGTATAATTCCTAACTAATTTAAGTATTAGCCCTTTTAGCCCAATATTCAACTTAACCATTTCTTCGTTCACCCGTCATTAGTTGATTTTTCGTAATAACTTTTCTGATAATGATATAAATGGGCGAAAACAATCAAGACAGTTGAGTATTCCACAATTGTTTCTTGAAGAAGGTTCAAGGCTTTGACGGAAAATGAAATTCCCAGATAGTAGGAAATCGAGGGGTTCATTCGGAGAATTAGAGCTATCATAGCAGGATTGGTAACATTGATTTTGAGCCACAACCAACCTGTGTTATTCAGTGTAAACTGAGCGACCTTGGCGCACAAGCGTTAGATAAGTCACATGATCTGTCAACCTAAAGGAAAAAACACGCTATTTCAGCCCTTAACAGCAAAATCAATCAGCCACAATCAGACCAAAGGTTGACAAATATGATTGTAAGAGCACAAGATTCAATATTTTTGAGACAGCAAAACATTGTAAAGGGGTCAGCAACAGTTTAAAGAGCTGACGATATCAGTCACAGTGTTCGAAATGAGAACAGTTTGAGGAAAGTGCCTGTTTATAACCCAGGGAAGAGTTTTTACGGTTCCCCTGGATAACGGCTACGCTATGCGTGCGTGTGCACCTATTGGTACCGAGAGTCTGTAAAGGTAACTTCGGTTACAGATTTAAGCTCTGAACTGGGCAAGGCAGATAACCTTTCAACCGGAAAAGGGAAAAGATCACAAGATTCGCTTTCTGACAAAGCCTTAATAGAACTTACCCCTTTATTCAAGGCTTAATGTAAGTCAACAGCCAATTAACTTAATTTGACACCATCTCCCATAGCCCGGATATAATTATAGTGCAAAAGAATACATAATGCAAAAAACAGCTGACAAAACCTTGTGCCAACTTAACACTGGAATCACTTAAAGGTAAATGCGTAGACAGCTGTATTTTAACAACGTTTAAAGATCATCTGAGTTCGAATGTAATAAACACCTCTGCTACTGTCGGAGACCTTGTGTTTCGTGCGTGACACATATCAGATAATAAGTGCAAACATTATATCAAGAGAGACAATTTTTAAGTTAAAGAGACTGTCACTTTATTATCAAGAGCTAGAAGCACCGCCTTTTGTGATTTTGGCACATTGAAAGGTTTGCATAATCGACGCAACCTTGAATAACCTTTTATATCAGTACTTAGCAACAACCAATCACAATGTAGAGAATGTAGTAAAGAGAGTGATTTCGTTACAAGTTATTCAGAGTAGCTCTTTACACGCCCGTTGTAACTGAGTGAATAGGAGAGTGGAATTAAACAGTTGAGCTTAATCGAGTCAATGGATTGATTCTAGTTCGTTAGGATTCTATCCCTAGTAAACGGGGCGAAGTTTACGAAACTACAACCAGATTCTCGCCTTTTATTGAACCATGTAGTGATCAAAACTGTTCCTATAACAGCCTAACAGAAGGGAATATGATTTGTCCACGATGGAACTTCCCTTAAAAAGACCCAGTTTCAATCACTACTATAGTGGACCTTCTCAAACGCGCCGGAAGTTTTTTAAACATCTCAAGCGTAACAGGGAAATTTTCCCGAAAGTGGGGAAAAGGGGGTTCCCCTCCATTAGAAACTGAAACCGGAACTCATGACGTCACCCATTCCTTCACAAAACTCGAACATTCAGATCTTTTTCTGAACATAAATGTAATATGTAGACGCAGTTTTTAGTTTTGTCCCATGGACTAGCTTGGAGTTATCTCTGCGATATTAGCAAGGAAAATCAAGAATCTAATTGTCAGTCTTGGTGAACTGACAATTAGCATTTAGATCTGTTTATTTTTGTGTTAGATCCACGGTAATCCGTGAAATATCCGCAGACGATTTTTCCAACGATTTACGTAGGTAAAAGTGCAATGAAAACGATGTTTGATGTGTTAGGACTGATGACAAGAGATGTAACTACATTTGTAAAGCAAAATGTATCCTGACCGTGATACAGTTATGAATGCGATCAATGTCCCCGACTCTTCACCGAATAATTAATATTCTATGTAAACATACTCTGGTAAAAAAAATTAAAGGCCGCCCCAACATTGCAAGCTGACAGAATTCCGCTATTTTTAGGGGTCTTCATTGAAAAAAGGGTTTTGTCAAACGAGGTAATATTAATTTTAACTTGGCGGACATCTATAACTGCAACTACGTGTATGTCGCTGAGTTTTCAGGAGGGTGAGTTCAACCACATTTACTAGTCCTACTACAGCCAAACTCTTACCGCGGAGTTCCCGAGTTCTTTTTAGTAACCTACTAGAGGACTCTGGAAATATCTAACGGCAACTATAGACTTGCCTAAAGGTACTTACGTTTGTGTCGCCGAGCCATCAGGACGGCAAAATTATTTAATCACATATACAACAACCAAAATCTTACCTCCGTGTTTCCGACCTTCTTTTTTAAGTTTTCTTACCAGCCTTAACAAAGAGTCAAAGAGAAAAGCTGATATAATAAACCGACAGCAACAGCTCCGTTTGTAAGACTATACAAATATACAACTGGAACTCGCTCAGACGCACGAGAGTTTTGACCTCTCAAGTGAGGGGGTTCCCCTAGTTTTAGCGGAATGCTTAGGTCACGTAATCTAATAATTGTTACGAAAATATTCCGCCGAATTGGATGTCCTAGTAAGTTTAAATGAAAGCCAAAGTGGAGAACAGAC